CAAAAAGCGATAATTCTGTATAGAATTGTGCTAATTAAAGAAAAAAAAATCATCAATAAGAAACAATAGAAAGACTTGCCAACATTTTGGCCTTTCAAGAAATAAAAACAGAGAAACTCTCTAATTGGCTTGATGAACAGAAACCTTGAGTAGACTTGTACATCCACTATCTTTTATTGTATCCATTTGATCATTGCTCTAAAATGACAATTTCAAGATTTATATAATGGGCTGCTTTTGTGGGCCTGAATCAAAATAATATTGGGCCTACATTAAAATAAACCAAAACGCATCGTTTTGAAAAGCATTAAATCCACTGGTTTCTTCTCTGCTGCAAGTGCGAGGCGCCATGGCATCATCATCTTCTTCTTCTGCTCACCTCTCGTTTCTCGCCGGAAGTATATCGCCGTTCTCCTCCGAACGGATCGGATTAGTCCCACATAGAGTTGAATTTCGTCTAGCGAAGTCTCGGTTCCGGTGCTCGGGTGGCCAGAGCGGGTTCTTCACGCGGCTGGGTCGGTTGATTAAGGAGAAGGCGAAAAGCGACGTGGAGAAGATTTTCTCGGGATTCTCTAAGACTAGGGAGAATCTAGCAGTCATTGATGAGCTCTTGCTGTTCTGGAATCTCGCTGAAACTGACCGAGTTCTCGATGAATTGGAAGAGGTTTGTTTTTGAATCACGAAACTCTCATTGTTGATTTTTTGCAAATGGTGTTTATTTCAGAAATCTAATTGTTGAAATTTTCCACTGTAGGCGCTTTTGGTATCTGATTTTGGACCGAAGATTACGGTTAGGATTGTTGAGAGGCTACGAGATGATATTATGTCAGGGAAACTTAAATCAGGAAGCGAGATTAAGGTTTATCTAAACAAAAGATTGTATATGTGTAACACAAGTACATGTTAGGGATTAGGGTTTATAGTTTAGTTAATCTAAAATGTTGAAATGATGTAGGATGCATTGAAAGGAAGTGTGTTGGAGATGCTGGCTAAGAAAAACAGCAAGTCAGAGCTTCAAATGGGTTTTAGGTTCTGCTCATTTTGCTGTGTTACTTGTTATTGTTTGTCTTCTCTTTCGCGCACCACTCCACTGTCGGTTTACTGTTTGGTCTCCTCTGTTGAAGTGGAGCTATGGAAGACTGTGGTTTAAGCTTGGTTATATGATGTGTGGTGTATCAGGAAACCAGCTGTTATAATGATCGTTGGAGTGAACGGAGGTGGGAAGACCACATCTCTTGGTAAGGAAGTAGACATTAATCGCATATTATGCCTTGGCTTGCATTGAGGATAGCCACAGAGAGATATTATATGTAAGAGTGGCTTTTGTTTTTCAGGAAAGTTGGCTCATAGATTGAAGAAAGAAGGGACTAAGGTAAAAATTGACGCTTTTTGTTCTCTTGGGAATTGGATGGGATATTAGAAAGTGGTTTCTCAAATAGGTATGAGAAATTTTACGAGGATAGGTAGAAATTGAGTATCAGTATGTTCATCATCAATCCTGCGATGAATTTGTCATAGGTATTAATGGCAGCAGGTGATACATTTAGAGCAGCTGCAAGTGACCAGTTAGAGATATGGGCAGAGAGGACAGGGTGTGAGATTGTTGTGGCTGATGGAGAAAAGGCTAAAGCAGCAACAGGTAAAACCAATGTACTGTTTGGCTTGCCAGTATCAGTGTTGAGGGCACATAAGATTAGATAACTCACTATCACAACATTTTCTTCCTAACTAGTTCTCTCAAAGGCTGTCAAAAGAGGGAAGGAGGAAGGTTACGATGTTGTACTATGTGATACATCTGGACGTGAGTATACATGAGTTTGCTAGTTTACTTTTAGAACACACTGATGCGTTGATTAACTGATCTGGGGAATATTAATTCTCTTTATTTAAGGTCTCCATACTAATTACAGCTTGATGGAGGAGTTGATTGCGTGCAAAAAGGCTGTAGGCAAGGTTGTCTCTGGTGCACCAAATGTGAGTGAGCCTTTCTACTTATCTCAATTTGTTGCCTTGCTTATATTACACGATTGCTAGTCTCCATTTTCCATCCGAGTGTTAGCTAAAATGAATTTCCACGGCATTGTCAGGAGATCCTACTTGTCCTTGATGGAAATACCGGTCTGAATATGCTTCCACAAGCTAGAGAATTTAACGAGGTACCATATGGAACCATCTAAACCTAGTGCTTCTGGCTCACCAAGCGATAAACTCTTTTAGCAAATTCTTGATGTTTCTTGCTCACTTTTTTTCTTCTTCAGATTGTTGGTATAACCGGTTTGATATTGACGAAACTGGATGGTTCTGCTAGAGGAGGCTGTGTGGTAAAAACCCCATAAATTCCGATCTCCAATCTCACCTCAAGGTCTTATTTTTCATTAGTTCTGCTCATCGAAACTGGTTCTGCATCACTTGCAGGTCAGTGTGGTTGAGGAATTGGGCATTCCCGTAAAGTTTATCGGTGTAGGAGAAGCTGTAGAAGATCTCCAACCATTTGATGCTGAGGCATTTGTGAACGCTATATTCTCCTGAGGCATAAAATTTGGTTTTTTCCGACTGTTATCATCTTCTCACGCAAGCGAGAGACACTTGTGCTTTCGCCGGAGATGAAAATGGAATTATTCCTTCAAAGTTTTTTGGAGATCTTAGGTCGTCAAGCTTCTACAATGGATGCAAGTTTTGTTTTTTTAACAGTGCGACTAAAGCTCGTTGGCACACGAGAGTGTTCGCTTACACAAGAATGTAACGAGTCAGAAAAAAATTGCTTGTATCACAATACCATTTTGTATATTGTTTTTGTTGTATTGTTTTTGAATGAATCAGGAAAGATTGATAAGAACATTGTGGAAGCAAAAGTGAATCAGCAAACATCCATTGCTTTCAATTATTTCATGGGTTCACCCATATACAAAATAATCGCAAAATTTAAATATATAAAGCGGGTTTTGGAATTCATATAATAATTGCTTCGATAACTACAATTGATTAACTAAAATTATATTGGTTTTACTCGATAATTATTGTATCTCGCATGTAACGCATTTAATTACCTAGTCTACTATATTTATACGTATCCTAGATACTACTAAATGATGATAAAAAAACAAATTAAAATGTGTAACTATTTCTTTTTTTTTTGGGCTCAAAACTCAAAATACGTTATTACTCTTTTTTTTGCTTTACAGTTATAAATACTATCAGCACTACATGAGAACTTAAAAATGTATTCGTTTTACTTGGATGTAATCATAGTAGATTGATAATGGTTAAATTTACCCAAAGATCCAAAATCCATGAGTTATTAGGTCTTTCTAATCGTTTCAACAACATTATCAAATAAAATGTTCAAAATTTGTTCATTAGAGGTCAATGACTTGCATTATATAAATTAACGAGACCATGTTGCTATCATAAAAAACCTATTTTGGGTGTTTCCATTGTCGTAGCTTGAATCTTATTGTTACAAATTCGGAAAGCACATCATTTTGTTTTAATTTTTTCTTTTTCAAATTGATAGATAGCGTTACTTTTGTAAGCTTCTGGTAAGATTTGTCTTTATGCGGACAGACAATGCTGAAACAAAAGACCAATTACCAACTGTTTTGCAAGCATTCCATGTAGATGCATTGAGTGTAGTTACTACTCAAGTTGATAAGATTGTTGAAACAGTTAGAAAAGCCTAATAATCCTAGCCTTTACAAAGATCTGAATATTTTCACAGTTGCTATGGTTTCTACCAGATAGAACAATATCTATTTTTTTTG